ATCAGATTGGTTTTGATATTTTGTGGTTACTTCCCAATAGTATTTCAATCATAAAATCATAAATCTGTAAGTATTTAGCATTTTGCCTCCTTATCTAACTACATTGACTAACAATTACAGGAGCTTTCAGAGATCACCTGACCCAACCTACTCACTCTGCAAATGAAGAAAGGATGGCCAAGTGTGAAATGTCAAAACAACATCACCAGGAAGCCTGCAGGAGATATCCCTTAAATTTGTAGAACTCTCCCCGTCACCACAACCCCAAAATTGCCTTACTTCTGCCCCATTTCCCCCATTTTCTTCTTTCTTGTTTCTCTAATTCTTCCCTTCTAACGTCAAAGATCAATTTCCTTAATATCCCCAAACCAAACAAGATAATTAGTTTTTTCAAAAATAGATGTTTCAGTAGTTTCTTGATGCATATGATTTCTTCCATGAAAGCCTTTGATTTTTCTTCCAGAACATGATTAAGAATTTTAACTCATGCATTAAGCACAGGTTGTAGTTTCAGCTCAGATGTCCTTGGGGATTACAAAGGAGTCTGTGTCTGAGGAAGGAATTGAGAGAATTTGAATGACCACACACAAGAACCAGGGCCTCTGTGACCCTTGGCTATGCCACCCCTTTTCAGGATCCCAAATCAGTCATGGGGATTAAGTTCAAGTAATGATTACATTTAACAAGTTACAGCCAGAGAAAATCAACTTTGGATCTAGGAGTTGGATTGATGGCTACTACTGTTCATAAGCCCTGAGAGAAATTCCTGGAAGATAGAGGGAAGGTGAGAACAATTAAGTTGAACACAATGAAGGCTGACATTTTAAAGAAAGAAAAATAAGGAAAAATGGAGGTAGGGAAGGAGGGAGAGAAAGAGAAAAAGAGGAAGAAAAAGACAGAGGAAGAGAAGGAGAAGGGACAGGAGAAGAGGATGAGAGTGAGAGAGAGACCTCATGTAAATCTCCTGTAGAATTCCCCTCACCTCGGGGAGCAATCAAGGCCCCTGAGTCTGCTCCCTAGCAGGGTATACTCTAGAAGGTCAGACTACTGAGCAGACAAGGTTGGGTTACAGCATTGTTATACTTTTCTCCCTGGTGAGAAAAGAAAATGCTGTCTGCTATCTCCTCACCCCCTTCATTCCAGCCAACAGAGATCTGAGCTCAGCAGCAGCACTCTTGACACAATAGGTCTTACTGAATCAACCTTGTCCTCATTAGGAAAATAACATTGTGTCCTTGCCATCATAAACCAGATGGATCCTCGATTATTTGTTGACCTATTACTTTTTTGAGACTACAAGTTCTTGAAAACCACAAACTGAGTTTGTTTACTCTATCTCCTCAGCATTGAGCTCCTCAGAGAATAACTTCACCTAAAAGTATGAGACGTCTTTCATAAAACCATAGAGATTTAGGTCCATTTCCCTTCTCTGCTCCCCCTTCATGTATCTGAAGACATCTATTCTTCTCTCCTGGGCCTCCCTTTTCTGTTTTGAAGAGCCTCAGACGGAAGATTCTGAATCTCTCAGCCTCTTTGGGATAAACTCCAATTTACCAATGTCCTCTTTAAAATGTGGCATCAAGTAGGAGTATTTTACTTTAAGCCAAATGAAAATGAGATGCATCATCCTATATGTATAACAGGGGGCTTTGGGTCTTCTGGAACATAGCCATGCAAGGGAAAGTGGAATGAGCCCCCAGTGTGCCTGGTGACACTCCCAAACACCTTGCCCTTTCGATGAACAAGAGTTCTGCATCATTTCATTTAATCTTCAAAACAATCTGCAGAGGTTGGTCCTAAGAATGATTCTGTCCTAGAGATGAAGCAAGAGGACCTCATCTCTAGTGAGCTCAAGCAGAAATTCAGCTCAAGTTTGAGTCAAATGTATGCTTGTAATCACCGTGTGATGCCACTGCCTGTAGCTCAGGCTCTTCCAGAAAAATAGCCTCAGAGAGCTCTAGAACATTACATGGAAAATATAAGCAATGCAATGCATTAAGATTTAAATATCTACGTCCTCATTCTGCCTGGATCCCTTATCCACAAGATGATGGGATGGGGTTAGCTGCCCTCCCAACATTGTTGCTTCATTTCTGAGACTGCTTCATAGCACATACCAAGAGGGAAGAGGGGACAGGATCGAGAGAGGGTGAAACACTCCCCTCAGCTAGTTGAATCCTGGCTAGAGTGTAGTAACTAAAAATAGCTGTTCTGAAATGTTCAGGCCAACCCAAGTCTTCCTAGGCTGCACATTCCCCAGCACTCACATTCCCCAGGCTGCACATTCCCCAGCACTCACATTCCCCAGGCTGCACATTCCCCAGCACTCACATTCCC